TTCTCATGCACGTCAGAGCTGCGACTTGTAGCTTATCTTTTAAAGGGCAAAAACTGACAATTGCAGTCCAAGTTAAAGGAAGCTGTTTTGTCATCAGACTCGTTCGTGACCCTAAACTCGGACTAGGAAGCAGGATTAGTGGCTGAGTGAGGGAACTTCATGGTATATTCAATCACTGTCTACTGATCAAGTCATCAATCATTTCTCTGGAAAATAGTAACAGTAATATCCTCTGAAGCAAGGAGTGCAGTAGTTTTTAAGAGGACATCTAAAGACTTTCTTTCCCTGATGAGCATCAAAAGATCAAGATCATTATGAGCAGCTTTATTTCTGGCTTTCTCCTGGTTGGCTGCAGGAAATGCCCTCGTTTAAGCCCTAGCATAGCGATATCCAAGTGTTCCTAAAACAGTCTTTCTGAATCCTTACACAGTGTAAAAGTTGAAAGTAAGCCAACTTCCTGGTTGAAATATGTTTTAACATTTGTTGTTTTCTTGCTTTTAGATTTTTATAGTTTTCAGAATCTCCAAAAATTATAAATATATAAACATTTTATTTTGTTAATTGATAATATCTGGATAAATAATCTAGCTGGGGCTACTAGATAATCTCCAGAGCTTTCTGCATGCTCTCATTTGTTCTGGGACGGTTATGTAGTGTAACACAAACTTCATGTAAATGCACTTGTGGGTAAATTTGGAAACCCTGGATTACCTACTTATCTAATAACCACCTTCGTGTGACCGTGTATCGTAATGCTAACAATTGGTTAAGTGCAAACAATCCTGAGCGTGTTCATAGTGCAGCTCCTCTGGTTTACTGGACGGATGCAGACCGACGTCTCTTAAATAAGGTGGAAGATCCACATTCAACTAGATTTTGTGCTTTTCTCCAGGAAGTGACAGCTGTGACGCAGACGAGCAGTAGAGATTGATGTAAGGAATCAGACTACATGATGAGATGAAGGGAACAGTGATCGCAGTCCTTTTTAAAAAGCTTTCTTTTTTTCTCATCACTTTCTGAAATGGACTCGGTGCAGAGAATTAGACCATGAAATAGGCTACTGACTCAAATGGCTTTTCTGAGTCAGATTTTTTTTTGTGTGTGTGCTTTATTTCAGTCACAAAATGGAGAATATGAACACAGTGGCAATAACACAAGTCATTTAAATTAAAACGGTTGCAGCTAAAGTTAACCTGCAGTAACAAGCTCTGCCTCTCTGCTAGTGTTGAGGGGTTTTCCCAGACGGCCTTCAAATATATTTTCATTCATTTCATTATTATATATAGTATCTGAACATAAGAATGGCTGAAAACACTTCTGACTTGTACAGGAAGCACAAGTTTGATGGCATAGTTTAGTAAATG